CGCCATTGATTGGATGACAAGGTCGGGGGACAAGGAATCCTCTTTGCTGATTGGCTGAACAAATTAATCCGCTAAGTGACGGGCGCGAACCCCACAACCCCACCTCCTCTCTCCCAAAACGACGACCCCCAGAAAATATATAACCTGGCGAGCCTTATCACCACTACGACCACTTGGAGACGACCTGCCGTTTATGACGAACCACCACTAAGAAACGACGTTCCCCTTTCTGGCCAACACCACGACCATCAGAAGTAATCGACTGTGCCGTTTCTGACCACTACAAGACATCCTGCTACTCCTGACCACAACCACGACGGACACAATTACACACCCGGAAGCAGAAGACCCTTTCACACTACCCACGAACGAAGATAAATACTTTTTGTTTATTATTCGTTATTAGTTAATTCACAAAAACACTTACTCTCAATAATTTTTTTTCCTTTTTTTTATGGGGATTAGCCCACCCAGGCACAGGTCACTGACCCACATCGGGGCCTAGGGGGCGAAAATGTAATAATAATAATAATAATAATAATAATAATAATAGTAATAATAATAATAATAATAATAATAATAATAATAATAATAATAATAATAATAATAATAATAAAGAACGATGAAAAGTGAGAAACAATATATGTATGTTGTGTTGTCAATAGTAAGAGAAACAATTGTTACTTTATACTTCAAAAAAAAAAAATAAATAAATAAAAAAATATTCCTGAATCTTCGTTACTAAGGACCTTCATCTAACACTATTTACTGAACAAGAATAAAACACAGACATAAATCACACAATAACATCAAGATATATACGCTGTTGGGCCTTTTCATAACGCTCTTGAAAATATATCTGACGAAACTACTAACGTTGAGGTACCAAGGCTGTAGAGAATAACACAGACATCATCCAAATGTCATTTTTCTTACTCTTGAGATTTACGTGACACTTCTTGTGGCTATATGCAGCTGGGAGGAGTTTATTTACATCAGGTGACGGGGGTGTGACGTCAGAGGATACGTATTTAGATATACTCGGCTTACGAACGCTCCTTTAACACCCCCCCAGTAACCCCCCGGACGGCAACACAACGGCAGCAGGTGACATTAACCAGTGAGAAATGGTCAATATAAGTGAGAGAGGATGATCATATGTGAGAGAGGGCCATCATAAGTGAGAGGGGGCCATCATAAGTGAGAGAGGGCCATCATATGTGAGAGAGGACGATCATATGTGAGAGAGGGCCATCATAAGTGAGAGAGGGCCATCATATGTGAGAGAGGGCCATCATAAGTGAGAGAGGGCCATCATAAGTGAGAGAGGGCCGTCATAAGTGAGAGAGGGCCATCATAAGTGAGACTCAAGTGAGAGAGGGCCATCATATGTGAGAGAGGGCCATCAAGAGAGAGGGCCATCATAAGTGAGAGAGGGCCATCACAAGTGAGAGAGGGCCATCATAAGTGAGAGAGGCCATCACAAGTGAGAGAGGACGATCATATGTGAGAGAGGGCCATCATAAGTGAGAGAGGGCCATCATAAGTGAGAGAGGACGATCATAAGTGAGAGAGGGCCATCATAAGTGAGAGAGGGGCCATCACAAGGAGAGAGGGCCATCATAAGTGAGAGGGCCATCACAAGTGAGATAAAGCCCAGGAGAGAGGGCCATCATGAGAGTGAGGAGGCCATCAAAGCGAGAGAGGGCCATCATAAGTGAGAGAGGGCCATCATGAAGTGAGAGAGGGCCATCATAAGTGAGAGAGGGCCATCATAAGAGGGCCATGTGAGAGAGGGCCATCATAAGAGAGAGGGCCATCAAGAATCCATCAAGTGAGAGAGGGCCATCATATGAGAGAGGCCATGTAAGTGAGAGAGGGCCATCATAAGTGAGAGAGGCTATCACAAGTGAGAGAGGGCCATCATAAGAGGCCATCATAAGTGAGAGGGCCATCATAAGTGAGAGAGGGCCATCATAAGGAGAGAGGGCCATCATAAGGAGAGAGGGCCATCACAAGTGAGAGAGGGCCATCATAAGTGAGAGAGGGCCATCATAAGTGAGAGAGGGCCATCATAAGTGAGAGAGGGCCATCATAAGTGAGAGAGGGCCATCATAAGTGAGATAAAGCCATCGTGAGAGAGGGCCATTGTAAGTTAGTCTGAGTTTACGAGACTATTATGACTCAAGCGGTAATAACAGTATACTTAAAGAGTAATTTCCATTTTTAATTGTATAAGTAGAGAGAGATACAGCGCCATTGTTTTGAGTGTGTGTGTGTGTGTGTGTGTGTGTGTGTGTGTGTGTGTGTGTGTGTGTGTGTGTGTGTGTGTGTGTGTGTGTGTGTGTGTGTGTGTGTGTGTGTGTGTGTGTGTGTGTGTGTGTGTGTGTGTGTGTGTGTGTGTGTGTGTGTGTGTGTGTGTGTGTGTGTGTGTGTGTGTGTGTGTGTGTGTGTGTACTAAAGACGCCACATGTGTACTTGGCTACGGATTACTGTCATGTCACAAGAACTATTGGTTATAATGTTGATAGGTTAGGTTATGTTAAGTTAACTTAGGTCAGGTTAGGTCAGGTCAGGTTAGGTTAGGTAAGGAAGTTGTCACGTTCTTGTCCCCTACAAAACTTCCACGGTGACGGTAATGAACGGGAGTTGTGGGAAGTTGGTCTTCGTCTTCACTACAGAACCCAGCATGACTTTCTCACTACATAACTGGTCTGGCTGGGAGGTCCGCCATAAATGCTACTGACATACGGGAAAAAAAATCGGGCTTTTATTCAATAGCCGTCACCTGAAGATTCGCTCCAAAGCCCTAACACTAGCCGGACCTAACTTAATGTAACCTAACCTAACCTAACCTAACTTTCTGGGTAGAGTTATAGGTAAGGTTAGGTTAGGTTAGCGTTAGGGTAGTTAATCATCAGGTAAAATAAGCTGAGGGGCTAATCTTCAGGTGATCCAAATAGCCCCCCAACCAGCAGAGTTATCCCCCGTGGTGCTGACGAAGAGCCAAGAAACTGAGATTAAAAATATAAATTAACCTCGTAAGTACAATACCATGACTTAACTCCCCCCCCCCTTACTGAGTACTAAGTCATCGTACTCAATAAAGGTCATCACATGCAGCTGGTGAACTGTACCTCTCTCTCTCTCTCTCTCTCTCTCTCTCTCTCTCTCTCTCACTCTCTCTCTATCTCAGCTTCGTGTAATGGCTCACCGCCAGCAAAAGAGACGTGTGTGTGTGTGTGTGTGTGTGTGTGTGTGTGTGTACTCTCCCCTGTGTAAGAATACATGTGTCCATATATGCATGAGTGTGTGCATGGGCGTGTACCCTTTGTATGTGTGTGTGTAAAAATGTATATAGATATGTATGTATACTTGTTACTATCTATCTATCTATCTATCTATCTATCTATCTATCAATACCTGTCAAACAATCCCCATCTACAAAAAATTAATAATGTAAACATCGTCTTAAAATGAAGTAAACAAAACGATCAATTTCAAATTAAATACAAACAAAAATAAACAAGTGGAATTAAAAAAAAATAAAATTGCATCAAAATCAAGTCCAAGATTTTCTGGTTTTAAGATGCCATAATAAAGTCCATAGCACTACAATAAAGTTCAGAGTGCCATAATAAAGTTCACAGCGCCATAATAAAGTTCACAGTGCCATAATAAAGTTCACAGCGCCATAATAAAGTTCACAGCGCCATAATAAAGTTCACAGCGCCATAATAAAGTTCACAGCGCCATAATAAAGTTCACAGCGCCATAATAAAGTTCACAGCGCCATAATAAAGTTCACAGCTCCATAATAAAGTTCACAGCGCCATAATAAAGTTCACAGCGCCATAATAAAGTCCAGAGCGTCATAATAAAGTCCAGAGTCCCATAATAAAGTCCAGAGCGTCATAATAAAGTCCAGAGCCATAATAAAGTCCAGAGCGCCATAATAAATTCCATAGCGCCATAATAAATTCCATAGCTCCATAATAAAGCCCAGAGAGCCATAATAAAGACCCTAGCACCATCATAAAGTCCAGAGCGCCATAATAAAGTCCAAAGCGCCATAACAGCAGTCCAAGGCGCTACAGCAAAGTCCAAAGCGCCACAACTCTGTACACTGATGACAAGCTACACTCCTGATCCCACTCGTCAGAGATCTTCTTGAGACACACCCAAGCAATATTGTTTGGCTGTGAAGCAGAGGAATTTGTTCGTGTTATCGTATTGACAAGGAGAATATGAACCATTGTGAAGCAGATTATGAACCGTTATGAAGCAGAATATGAACCGTTATGAAGCAGAATATGAACCATTGTGAACCAGAGTATGAACCGTGTGAATAATATGAACGGTTGTAAAATAGAATATGAATGAATCGCTGTGAAGCAAAATATAAACCATTTTGGACCAGAGTATGAACCAGTGCACCAGAATATGAACCAATGCTAACCAGAATACGAAGCGTTATAAATCAGAATATTAAACGTTGAGTAACAGAATATGAAGCGTTAAGACCGACAACATGAAAGATTATGTGGCTGAAAATACCAAACTTTTCTGCCAATAGTTTTTAGGTACAGTAACGGCAATCACATCAAACCTCGGTAATAAAATCTACAAAACAAATGATGATGAGAGATAAAGAGAGAGAGGAGGGAAAAATAAGAGAGCCTTTACTAATGTGTGTGTGTGAGTGTGTGTGAGTGAGTGTGAGAAGAGAAAATGAGAAAGAAAGAAGGAAAAGAGAGATAGAGCTACTGAAAGAGAGAGAGAGAGAGAAGGGAGGGGCGGAGAGGGATGGGGGTGGAGTGAGAGAGAAGAGAGAGAGAGAGGGAAGGAGGAAGAGAGGGAAGAAGGGGGAAAGGGAATATAAGATAAATAAAACCTTTAGAGTGAAGCACAAGAAACAAATAAAAGACAAACAAGAAGAGAAAGAATAATAAAAAAAAGAAGAAGTAAATGACCAGGAACCAAATGTCCATATCACCAACCTGCTTATCCGAAGTCCTTGGTGAAGAGGATAGTGACGGTGGAGTGGCGGTAGTGATTCTCCTTCTGCGGACAAGCTACGGTACGGCTGTCCACTGTGCGGAGCGGACCAGGGATATGAGGAACCACTAACAGCTTTAGCCTCTCCAGATTATACAAGTCTTGGGTAAAGCGACAGAGGAGTTAGATGAAGAGGCGAGAGCTGAGGAGAGCACACGGGGCTGGCAGGAGGAGCTTGATATTTTGTTGAGCCTACTGTTGATGACGCGGCTTGAAGAGTATAGTCCGTTACCTGGCTCCGCTGAGCGAAGAGTGAGGGGACTTGCATTAGATGGGTCCCAAGGTCTGCCTGGCTGTTGTTGCTGCTGCTGCTCAGTCGTGCCCGCCCGTCCGCCCGTTAGGCACCTGAGCGCCCACACCCACCTGTGGCCACGCCCCAAAACCCGCCTTCCTTCCCTTACTCCCTCCCCCCTCCTTAAACCCAAGTCGCATTCCACCTGTTGGCTCCTGCCCCGTAACCCCAGCCAACTCACCACCACCTCATTCCCCCCTCTCCTGCTAACCCCCCCCCACACACATACAGACCTTCAAAATTACAAACACCTCTGGAAGAAAGTAATTTCCACTCAGCATTTGCATCTCATTAGCATTAAGATCCATCATTCCAGGGATTGAGTAAACGAGAGGAGAGATAAGCGTTGGAGGCGTCGGAGGGCGAGTGACGATAACGAGCCAAGTGTGATTATCTGGGGCCAAGTTTACGGCTCTCATCAAGGGGTATCTGCAGTGTGGAGGAGGAGTTACTGAGTCCTTGTAGCTTCCATCAGTCGTCCTTTGGCTCTGTGTGCCCCTCGCTCTATATATTTCTATTTTCGTTATCCTTGTGTTTCTATGTGTCTATCGGTTTATTTATATGTTTACTGTATTTTCTATAAAAAATTATTTCTCCATTTATCTATTTAGATCTTTGACTCTGTCTATCTAGCCATCCAACTATCTTTCTATATTTACCTTCTATATTTACCTTTTTATCCATCTATCTATTATTCTCAGAAAAAAAAGGAAAGAAGGCTAACCGGCACTAAGGAAATGTACATTATCATAATCAACGGGATGTAATTCGCCCCATTAATCTATGGTGCCACGCAGATGTATGTTATGTAAACAAAGTCAGCTGGGTGTCAGACTTAGGCTTCCGTCCAATTTTGTTCGTGTTGGCAGCGATCATTGTTTGGGCATGAAAACGTTTGCGTGTTCTGGCATGTACTGGAGAACGCTTTGCAATGCTTCCCGCCACAACTTGACCTAAACAAAGCAGAAAAAACAAAGTTTATAAAGTATGTGATTTACTCAGTCTTAAGGAACACACTGGTAAGCAACAACAGTGAGATAGTGGGACGAATGACGCCGTGAAATTCTACTGCATCGTGTAGCTGTCTCGTGTTAAGTGTTTCTCAAGTGTATTTCTGTCGGGCCTTAAGATGAGGCACCACCGTCATAATAAGTACAGTGGTGTTGCTCCTCCCACGAAAGCTGGCCAAACTGCCGGTTCCAAAACTTGCCCCAGTCGTATACTGGCCACAAACGACGCGACATACTGCTTCCCTTCTCTGGTCAATTACATGACTCCAGAATATGGCCACTGCCGGGTCCCCGTAATAGAATACATCATAAGAACACCGTTACCTCAAAAAACATAGACGTGTTCAAACCATGCTAATATATTCAATCTTTCTCTTTGCCAAAAATTTAGTTGAATTTTATATAGGTTGCATCTTATACTTCAAAAGTCTCTCACAAAAAGAACTCCTTCCTCCTCTTCCTCACATTCCCCCTCTTTCCTCGTGTCCTCCCCTCTCACTTACGTCACGTCTCACTACCACCATCCTCACTCCATCTCTCCATAAAACATAAGAATCTGTATCTCAATGTTGAATCTGAATCCCCAAAACTTGAACAAACTGTGTATAAACCTCCACCACAGTTATAAATAAGTCTACCATTTTCTTTTTCTTCGGTTTTCAATTCTTTTAACGTAATACGGTACATGAGTGTATTTACCACACCACAACACGGATAAGATCATCTGAAGATTAGGCAGCCCACCTTATTTCGCCTGATGATTAAACACTGTAATACTACCTGGGGGGTTGGGTTAGGTTAGGTTAAGTTAGGTTTGATTATGTCAGGTTATGTTGTTTGGGTTGATTATGTTATGTTATGTTATGTTAGGGTTGGGTAGGTTATGTTACGTTACGTTACGTTACGTTAGGTTAGGTTAGGTTAGGTTTGATTATGTCAGGTTATGTTGTTAGGGTTGATTATGTTATGTTATGTTAGGGTTGGGTAGGTTACGTTACGTTACGTTAGGTTAGGCTAGGGTAGGGTTCGGGTAGATAAGGTTAGGTGGTTTAATCATCAGGTAAAATAAGTTGGGGTGCTTAATATCCCGGTAATCCCATGTATCATAATTATATTACAGAGGAGATTTAAGAATGGAAAAACAAAACTCATCCACCCACTCTCCCTCCCCTTCATTCTTTCTCATCCCCCACTCCCTCTCACCCTCCCTCCCTCACAATGCCTCTTGAGACATTTGAGAAAAAAAATCACTAGAATACAGTATAAACACCCGAGGAAGAATAAACTACTCCATCCATAGTCAAACACACATACTTGTCTTCCCTGGCCGTTAATTGGCCCAGTGAAAAATATTGAAGTGCTCGTTAAACAGTGGCTAGTCGGTAGCCATCACCCTACACCTGACCGGGCAAAAAAAAGAGTCGTCATAAGCGGAGTACATTCAGAATGGAAAAGGGTTCTCACCGTAGTACCACTGATATCGAGTCACACTGTCAAGCTTGCGGACGACGCGAAGATGTCCAGGAAGTTAGCATGTCAAAACGATGTCACAACCATGCCAAAAGATCAGCACGAAGTGTGTAAATGGTCTCGAGACTGTAATGCTCTTTATCATTACAAAACGTTAGCGTGCACGTAAGATACAACATCCATAACAACAGCTATTCAGTTTATAACAATTTCCTGAAGGCGGCGTAACAAGTGGGAGCAGCAGTGGAAAAAAGCCAACCGAGATTTGGGAATTATAAAGGGTACGGTATCCTCGAATACAAAGATAGGAAAATGCTTCTTCATCTTTATAATCTCAAGTACTATACGTCACAATCTGGATTGCTGTAGCATAAAAACCCTACCTCCAGAAAGACTTAGCGTCCCTAGAAAAGGTGCAATACAGGCCGACTAGAATGATACCGGAACAATGTCGTCTCGATTATCCAAGTAGACTAAAGGCTTTAGCACTAACAAATCTTCAGACAAGACACAATACGGCGCATCTCACTGAAACATTCAAAGTCCTGAAAGGGATGGTAAACGTGAACCAGGGCCATTTTTTGTGATATCACGCACCACCAACACGATGGGGCATAACTTCAAGCTCACCCCGTCTGGTCCCCGAGATATGCAAGAGATTGTCAGTTGGTTGATAATGTTCAAGGGAGGGCCACCAGACTGGTGCTGCACTTCGGCACCTCAGCTACCCTGAGAGATTGGAGCGCCTGAACTTGCCTAGCTTATACTACAGACGGGCAAGGTGGACCTAATTGAGGTGTATAAGCATCTCAGGGGGCACTACTCAGTTGAGTGTCCTTACTTGGAGCTGGCGGACGCTCGCCCCACAAGGGGTCACAGCTCAAGATTGAAGAAGCCGCAAGTCCAGAAAACTGTGAGGGCAAACTTTTTTGGAGTGAGAGTTGTGAACTCTTGGAACAATCTACCAGAAAGTATTGTGGCGGCACCGAGTGTAAGCTCTTTCAAGACAAGATTTGACCAACACTGGAGCAGGTTCAGGTGCATTCAGGAGCCGGTGCATGCCTAGTACTTGCCAACAGTGCGTAACAGAGACGTGACCGATCGCCCAAGCGGCTAACAAGCCGATCAGTGGTGAAAGGGATAAAATTGAAAATATATCATGAAGAACGAAGATAATGAAATTCTTCACACCTGTCTACCAGCCAGCTCGAGCTGTAGTAGCGAGAACAGTACTAAGCATCAAACTAGCTCTAAACAAAGGTATCAGGAACAATGAAAGGATCCTACAAAGCCCACTGCCATTTTCCCCTTGGCATTGCCACCTACAGTCTGGGTGACCATTGGTTAAATAAGGTAAATAAGATACTTTATATATTACTAGTTACTGGTGCTAGCATTGATATCTTCGTTTTTTGTTCTCCGTGGTAAGAATTCAAAGAAAACGAAATAAATTTTTCTTTGTTTCAATGGGTAACTTTAGTGTTTATATCCTTTTGCCATTAATGTATACACAGAATGCTAAGCGTAAGGAACTGAAATGATAAATAATGAATCTGACTGACCTGCAGTGTTTTATTGTGTTTCAGAGAATTAGTTCATTTTTTATTCACCCCCCAAGGTCCCTCATCAATAAGAGAGGGATAGGTGGTTACTTCTGATCCGACGATCGTACCATGACATTTTTTACAGGAAATTAGTTCATCTCTTTAATTTATTTGCACTGCCAATACATTTTGAGATAATAAACGTATGTATCCGGAAATAAATTGTAATGCGTAAACTTATTTGTTTGTTACCAATTAAGACATTTTATATGAAATCTTTTGATCCGGAACATTGTCACCTGGACCTTCACAATTAATAAGTGAGTAACCCTGGTATAGGGGATTGACAATGGTGAGAGGTCACTTTTTGTCCTAATATTCAACGATATGATTCATGATTCCTAGAATTTGGCTGGAATTTTTTCACCACTTCACCGCTGCTTTCATAGATTAATTAAGTCATATTCTCTCCCACCTCATGAAGATAAGCGTGAAGATAAGCATAAAATTGTAAACCAAATGTGATTTGAAAATTCATTACTAAGATTCTACCTTTGCGAGATGAGTTCACGCATCTTTATTTAGAGGAAAAATGATGCAAGGGTTGCTAACTGTGGGGGAATCTGAAGCCCAGCTGGGACCTATAATAATGGAGTAACAAAATACTACTACTACTAATAAAATTGCAAATTTTTATCATTATGCAAAATTGCCATTGTTATTATTAGCAGTAGTAGTAGTAATAGTATTGATAGGGCTTACTGTTACTTCTACTCCTATCATCATTCCATTGGTCAGCCGGGATGCAATTCAAGCGATCAAAGTTAAACTCTATAACCAATTAAACCTCAGTATGATTCGCTGCCATAACAGACCTGGATGGACTGAAGGGATTGAAAGAAGTGTATGACTGCAGCCTCTGTGTGGTGAAGAGAGATGCGATT